CAATATAATACATCCGTTTTTATTTGTGTGGGGATATGTTAGAACCCCACGCGACTGTTTAAGCCTTAAACTTTAAGGGTCAATATTAGGTAATATTAAATATCTATTTATATATGTGAATTAATAATATAACCAGGTAGCGAACATTCTATGCTAGATGACGTTTAATAAAAGTTTATTAAAAATGTTATCTAGGTAATATAAATCAAAATCTAGGTAAACCCAATACATATTCCGAGATTTAATTAAATTTTTTGTTACAATACCAAATCTAGAATATTCTAATTATTATTTTGTAATAATTATAAAATTTTATAGATACCTTTGGGTAATGTTGACTTACACGAATCTTTTTCACAACGTTCTATTTTAGAATAATAAGCATCTTGTCTTATTGTTTTTATACATCTTTTACAATACTCATGATGACAATCAAACAACTTTTCTACTGGATTGTAGTATTTACATTTATCGCATTTCTCTTTAACGTGTATTTGAAGTATTAATTATTAAAACAATTTAATTTAACAAAGTATTTGTAAAAAATTGTTGAGTAATATTATATTAACTAATTAAATGTTACCCATTAAATCATTTATAAAACTGTTAATGATGAGTAATCAAGCACAAAAAAAAAAATAAAAATAAGACACTAAAACAGAAACTCAAACCGGTATGAAAAGGGCAGTTGGAAACTGGAAACCCTTTGTATATGTCCAAACCAATATTGAACGAAACCTTCAGTTTATATTTTTAAATATCTTGACTGGAACCTAAACCTAATTAAATAGTGAAAGTAATAGATTTTCTAGGTATTTTAGGATTGTTATGTGAAAAGACATTTTAATAATTTTATAATTTTGAATGATAATTTTTTTAATTTGAAAAGAATTTCGTTTTAAGAAAAGGGAATCTATAAATTAGGTCTATGTCAAATATATTATGATTATTAAGTTTATTTAAAAAGTGATCTAGATTAAAAAAATAAAATATTATTTTTTTCTAGATAAAAATCTAGATATTTCCAACACTTCTACGAAGAATTAATTTAAGTTTTCGCTACAACACAGGACTCCTCATACTTTTTGACAAAAATTTTACGCCGGCTGTCGACCTGACGCAACCTCATTATTACCCTCTTACAATTGCCTGAGAGGCCGTGGAAGTATTCTTTTTCCCTATCCACAGGAAGAAATACAAAGTATAGAATATTCTAATAATTATTTATTAATAAATACAAAATGTATTATTACCTAGGAGTACTTTTTTTTTACAGTCATCTATTGGACAATAATGAGTTTTTTCTTTTTTTATATATTTTATACAGTCTTCGCAAAATGTATGATGGCATTCAAACAAATTATCTACTGGCTTAACTTCATTACAATTTAGGCAATTTCCTTTAACATGTATATGAAGAATCAATTATTTATCAATTTTATTTTAATAAGAGACACATGTCCATCTTAAAATATATATAAAAATCAGTAATCTTACAATAACTTTAAGATAATTAATCAATTGTTATAACAATAATATTACTTAAATAAATTCTTAATTATTTGAAAGCTTTTGATAGAATGTAAAATTTTTAAAAGGCAACGTGAACATTTTTCATTTTGTGAAAAATGATAAATGAAAAATAAATTTTTAAGGCGCACATTTTGCTTCTAAATTTTAAATGACAAAATTTAATTAAAAAATTAACTAGTTCATTTTTAATTATTTTATTAAAATACATAGTATAAGAATAATTCTTATGATTTTAATTAGAAAAAATTAAAATGTTATTCATTTATTTGATAATCATGACATCATCCGCATATAAAAAAATATAAGGAATTTTTAATAATGCTACCAAGACTCAATATAGTTTTTTGCTATAATACAAAATTCATATTATTCTAATAATTATTTATTAATAGAAAAAAAAATAGATTAAATACCTCTTATTAATTTTGACATACAAATATCTATAAATTATAAAATTAAATATAAGTGGAAATAAATTATCTCCTTGAGGAAGGTAAGATATTACAGTAATAGAATTAGAAACATCATGTTTAACAAACTGTACCCTATTAGTTAGAAATGAGGAAATTATTTTAAATATAAGTACACTTATGAAGAGATCCACTTTAATAATTGATTTTTAAAAAACGAAATAGATGACATCTGTTTTTTCATTTAATAAAAAATAATTGAGAGTATTATGTTTAAATGTTATTAAATTAGTTAATGTAATTTTATGCTGCAAAACTATATTTTTGTGGTACTATTGTATTTTCGAATTCTGATATTTTAAAATTAATAATGTCGTAAAAAATTTTTTGGAGGAACTAATATAATGGAAATATAATTAAAATATATTTTCCTTTGTATGAATAGGTTTAATAAATGTGGATTTAAAACCAGATGGGTAACACTTAAGTTCAAAAAAGTCATAATAAGAAAAGCAATAGGAGAAGATAAAATGAATCTACATTGGTAATGGAATATTGGGGATATCCTATATCAACCGGACTAATTGAAAATTTATTGTTCTACTTGTCTAGTTCACAAGTAACATCTTATTTTATTAATCACATATTATAGATTGTATTATAGTTTAAGTTTGTATTCTATTTTTTTGATAATTATGTAATTCCTTTAGTTTGTTTTCGCCATTATGATATACAGAATTAAAAAAAAAAAACTATAAACCTCGATATAAGATAACATTACAAGAAAAAATTGAATCTTGGTGTTCAATTATAGGCATATTTTTAATAGATAAATTAGGGTTAGGTTTATTATTAACAGAAGCAATATATTGGCTAAACATATTCATAATGCTTTAACCATCATTAGCCGATATTTGATCTAAGGTTAAGGAATTAAAGAGATTAGAGGTATCAATAATATTTTTCAAAAATAATAAAAATATATTTAATTTTTGCAAATTTTTTTTAGCTTCGATGCGAAGCAGAGAAGGTATTAATTTTACTATGATGTGTTTTTTTTTTATGTCTGTTGCCACTTTTTCTCAGCTCTCACTGGACCGATTTCTTTCAAAAATACGTCAAAAGATCACAAATCGTATCTAGTTGAAGACATTACCCTTAAAAATTGAAAAAAATTCCCTCGTTCCCCGCAAATGGGGGAAATATCCAAAAAAATTACAAATTTANTTTATTGTTATTAATAGATATATTAATATATATATAATATAAATTAAATACCTTTATTTAATGATGATTTCTTCCATTTTAATTTACATAGATATTCTTCACCGTTATAAGCACTTTTTCTTATATTTTCTATACAGTAAATACAATACTTATGATGGCAATTAAATAATTTTTTCTCTGCTATGTCACAATTACATTCGTCGCATAAATCTTAAACATGTTTTTAAAGTATAAATTATTAAAACAATTAAACTTAACAATTATAATTTTAAAGGATAATTTTTGAATAGAAAATAATTTTGTTTTAAGGAAAGGAAATGCATAAATGAGGTCGACGTCAAATACATTATATTTTAATATGAATTTTATAGGAAAACAATAATAAAACATTTTTTATTATTTACAATATTTATTTGATTTCTCTAAGGAATTTCGGCTTTGAATCCGAATTTGGCTTTAAAATTTCAATATTATGTATCATTTTTTGAGATAATTACTTATCAATAATTAAGTGATATTTATAATGTATAATTATAATAAAAAAAAAAAAAACTAATTTTTTTACTTTTCTAAAATTTTTTTATATGTTAAATAAAAATTGCGCAAAATTTAGGACTGTTCCATCAAGTTAAACCAATTTATTGTACTTCAAAATTAAGTTTGAGCGTTAAAATAATACAAAATTTGAACGTTACAATATTGTCAGTACTGACAATTTTGTATAACCTGTTTTACGCCAGTATTCTACCTGAAAGGCCAGCCAAATATATCTGCCAATATTGGGTCAGTAATTAGATGCCAGCCATTTATACGCTAATACGGACTAGTATAGATGATATTTGATATCTTGTATACATATACCAAATATGCCACAGCCCATTGTGCTATTTTCTATAATTATAGGAAACTTTTAAACAGAATAAGAACAGTCATAGAAATGAATGTTGAAGGAAGAAAAGGTAGAGGAAGACCAAAAAAGAGATGGAGGGATTCTATTGAATGAGATTTGAGGACAGCTGATGTGGGAGATCGTGTTAAGTGGAAGTTTAGATATAAGGTGGCCGACCCAAAGTAGTTGAGATTAAGGCGAGGAAGATGAAGAAGATAGGAAACTTTAAAAAACAATTTTTGATTAATAAAAAAGTTTCTTTAACAAATATAGATGATATTTGATGTCATATGTACTTGCACCAAATATTCCATATTTCTATTGAGCTAGTTTTTATTTATAGAAATATTTTTTTAGTAAAATCAACATGTTATTGCTTTCGCTCAACTCTAAAATAGGTCAAAAAATAAGATTACCTAAAAAATAAATTTTAACAGTTTATTGGTACTTAAATTTTATAATAATACAAAGTTTCTTTATTATTTACTTTAACTAAACTTACTGGATGTGGATGAATCCCGAGGCTTATAACGATCTAGCAAAATTTGTAATAACAATAATTAACTCATATTCAGTAAATTTCAATAAATGCTTTTATTCTTTTTTTAAAACATTATATTATTAAATAAAAATAAAATATACTTGATCTATCTATGATAGTATACTACTAGACATAATAATTGCTTAAATAAAAACAACACTTTTTGCCAATTTTAATATTATACGGAGTGGTTCACGATATTTCGGCAAATCTAATAACTTTTGATCTATTTAATCTTTCGAATTGTTTTTTTTTTAAATATATGCATTCCTAGACTATGTTAAAACAATATTTTTAGTGTTGTAAGAACATTTATTACTATGTTCGTACCACTTATATTATACACGTTTTATTTCCATTTACTTAATTCGTAATACATATTAATTAGCATAGAAGGAGATGCTTGTTGTAAGGTGGGTAACACTGTATATATCTCTGTGAGTTAACCTCTATGTAACATATAAAAATGTAGTATTCATTGTGTGTGTATAATTAATAAATTTAGAAATAATAATATAATAAATTCGTGTATATTTTATATAAAATACAACATGGCGCAGTCGAATGGAGGAGTGGTTCCGGCTCCACTGCCACTGGATATTAGTGACCCGTCAATGGTGGTTAAGTATTTAAAAATATTCAAAACCAAATTTGAATTGTACTTGTTAGCTAATGATCTTGAAGAAAAATCTGAAAAATTGAAAATTGCCATATTGCTTAGTGTCATTGACGATGAAGCATTTGAATTTTTAGAATCTATTAACATTACAAGTGTAAATAATCCTGGTTCAATAGGAAAGATATTTGAAGCAATTAAAAATTATTATGAGCCTAAAACTAATATAATAATTGAGCAATTTAACTTCTTTCGACGCTCTCAAGAAGAGGGAGAATTGTTTGACAAATTTCTTAGAGATATTCGCAACCTGGCTAAAAGGTGTGATTTTGGACCTCTAGAGGAAAACATGGTGAGAATAAGAATAGTCTTAGGTGTTAGAGATAAAAGTCTGCAGGAAAGACTATTAAGAGCACCAGATCTAAGTTTAGACAAAACCATTGATCACTGTAAATCTGCAGAAATTGCTAGATATCAGCAACAGTTGTTAACAAATTGTAACGATGTCGGTGAAGAAAGTAATGTGCAGAAAATAACCATAGAAAAATCAGATAATGCAAGGAACTGGAAGCAAACAAATGAAGACCAATATAACTGTAAGAAATGTGGGTTCAGGCATGGAGCAAAGAGCTGTCCGGCGTATGGAAAAAAATGTGTTAATTGTGGAAAAATGAATCACTTCAAAATTGGATGTCGAGTAAAGAATCAGCATCAAGTAACAAATAGAAATGAAATTTGTGATAATATTAATGTTTATAATGAATCTGAGCCTAATTTATTTGATATTTATTCATTAGTAGTTTCAAATATAAGTGAACAATATAAAACTGATAATAATAATAATAAGAAAGGGTGGTTTCAAAATATTAAAATTAATAATTGTAATGTTGTGTTTAAATTAGATACAGGTTCTGATATTAATATTATACCTCTTACTATTTTCAATGGATTAAAAAAAAATGAGATTATTGAAAAAATTAATTATAAAATACAGGCATATGGAGGATATGTTATCAAATTTGTTGGAGCTGTTACATTAAATTGTTTTATTATTGATAAATTCATTAAGCTCAAGTTCATTATTGTTAATGATAAATGTCAAAATAAATGTATTCCTATACTAGGATTAGACACTTGTGTAAAATTGAATTTAGTAAGTAATAGAGAGATAAATAATATTGAAAGTGATGATGGTGTAAAACAAATAATTAGTGGATATGAGGATGTTTTTGAAGGATTAGGCTGTTTCCCGGGTGAATATAAAATAATAATTAATGAAAACAGTCAAAGTAAGTTAAATCCACCTAGGAGAGTGGCCGAATCTATTAAAGGTGAATTAAGAAAAACTCTATTAGAAATGTGTGAGTCAGGAGTCATTGTAGAAGTGGAAAGACCTAGAGGATGGTCAAGTAATGTGGTAATTGTAGAAAAACAAAACAAAAAACTGAGAATTTGTCTTGACCCAGTAGAATTAAATAAGGTTATTGTGAGGGATCATTTTTTGATACCAACACTGGAGGAATTGAGAATGAGCCTTAATAATAAGTGGTTTAGTTCTTTTGATCTCAAAGCTGGGTTTTGGCAAATAAAACTAGATGAAGAGTCCAGTTATCTTTGCACGTTTAGTACTCCATTTGGGTACTATAGATTTACTAGGTTACCATTTGGACTATCATGTGCTCCTGAAGTATTCCAAAAGAAGACTTTAGAGTGTTTTGGAGGGATAAAAAATGTGTTTGTGTACTTTGATGATCTACTTGTAGCAACTGAGGATGAAAAGACACATGATGAGACCATAAAATTAGAACTAGAGAGAGCAAAGCAACTAAACATAAAATTTAATAGTGACAAAATAAAATATAAAAGAAGTGAAATTAAATATATAGGAATGAAGTTTAATAGAGATGGAATGAAACCAGATGAAGAAAGGGTAAAGGCATTAATAGCGTTAAAACCACCAAATAACAAAGGAGAATTACAACGATTGTTAGGAGCTTTCAATTACTTAAGACAATTTATACCTAACATGTCTACGTTAATAACACCTCTAAGGGAATTATTAAAAAAGAATGTATGCTGGTGTTGGACAGAGGCACATACTGAGGTAATAAATAAATTAAAGCAAATAATTGCAAGCCCTCAAGTATTAGTAAATTTTGATCCAGAAAAAGAACTAGTTATACAGTGTGATAGTTCACAGACTGGAATGGGTTGCTGCCTACTACAGGACAATAGGCCAATTGCATTTTCATCTAGGAGTCTGAATGAAGCAGAAGAAAGATATCCTCAAATTGAAAAAGAGATGTTGAGTATAGTTTATGCATGTAAAAAATTTCATAATTATGTCTATGGAACTAGAACTAGAATAATGACAGATCATTCACCACTAGTACAAATATTTCAAAAAAGTATTGATAAAGTTATCTCTGTGAGACTACAGAAAATGAAATTGTAATTAATAATATATGACTTGTGTGTAGAATACTTGCCAGGAAAATTAATGTTTATAGCAGATCTGTTGTCAAGAAATTATATTGAGAATAAGGAGGAAAGTGAAAAGGAAATAGAAGGAGTAGTACATGCGATTGAGTATAGAAATACAAATTTTAAAGAAATAGCGAGAGCTACAGAAAATGATGTTGAATTAAAGGAGATAATTAAGGTGTATAATAGAGGTTGGCCTAAAGAAAAAAAACATGTGTCTGAAATTATAAAACAGTACTGGAATTTAAAAAATAATATAAGTGTAGAACATGGTATAGTATATTATGTGGACAGAATAGTTGTACCAAAGTCATTAAAAGCCAAAGTACTAAGACTTCTGCATGAAGGACATAATGGGGTGACAAAAACAATATTGAGAGCAAAACAACTAGTGTATTGGAACAATATGGATAATGACATAAAACAATTTGTTATAAAGTGTAATGTATGTGCAAAATTTAGAAATAATAATAGTAAAGAACCACTTATAGCACATGAGACTCCATCATTGCCTTTTCAAATAGTAAGTAGTGATATATTCACATACGGTGGTCATGACTATCTAGTGATAATGGATCACTATTCAAAGTGGCTTGAGATCAATAAAATTTTAAGTAAAACTGCCAAAGAAATGATAAAGCAATTTAAACAAGTAATGAGTGTACATGGGTGTCCAAAAATTATTGTAACAGACAATGTACCGTTTGGATCCTATGATTTTAGAACATTTTGTGAGAACAATAATATTGAATTAAGAACATCTAGTCCCAATTATCCACAGTCCAATGGGTCCTCGGAAAGGGCAGTACAGACAGCGAAACAGTTATTAAGAAAATCTATCTGTGAAAGTAGGGAATTGAGTGATTTACTACTTGAATATCGGTGCACAACCATACCACATTTAGGAGCGGCCCCGTGTGAATTATTAATGAACAGACTAGTAAGAACAAAATTTCCAATATTAGATAAAAAATTAAAACCAAAAGTACCTGAAGAAATAGAAGAAAAAGTTGTAGATTATAAAAATAAATATAAAGAATATTTTGATAAAACAGCAAAAGCAAGAAAAGAGTTCAATATTAAGGATAAGGTATTAATTAGAGAGAATAAGATGTGGAGTCCAGGAGTTGTGGTATCAAAGGTTAAATATCCGAGATCGTATTTGGTGAAAGGGGAAAAAGGAATGTTAAGGAGAAATTCCAAACATTTGAGATTAAATAACAGCTTGGAGAGGGATGGTTGTCCAGTGGATAATGATGATATTGTCATTGGAATTGGTGGTGAGGTGCTAAGGGAGAAGGATAATATTATGTCATGTAGTAGTAGTACAAATGTTCCTTCTGTACAAACAACAAAGAAAGGAAGAATAATTAGGAAACCTAATAAATTAAACTTGTAATCTTTAAAATACTTATGTTAATGTTATTTGTATAATTAATTATATGCTGTGAGTGCAAATTGTGCTAAACTGTAAATTGTTAAAATTGGTGAATTGTCAAAGTTAAATTGTAAATTTTTAAATATTAAAATTGTAATAAAAAGCTAAGGGGAACATGTTGTAAGGTGGGTAACACTGTATATATCTCTGTGAGTTAACCTCTATGTAACATATAAAAAATGTAGTATTCATTGTGTGTGTATAATTAATAAATTTAGAAATAATAATATAATAAATTCGTGTATATTTTATATAAAATACAACAATGCTGATGTGACAATTCTACTCGTCTGTACCACAGAACTACTGACATCGAACTAACAAAGGGCAGTGGTGTTTGAGTGGCCGTTATAGACATAGTTTACAATACTATTACTTTTGTCTTATTTATAATTTAACTTGTTTTATTCAACGACCCATCTATCGCCAATTGTCATCATAGCCAACCAACTCCGTCTCACTTGGATATACCTACTAACCAACTGTATTAGGATTCAGGTCAGACGTATTGTACATTGCTTATAACTTATATTTACTGAACATCCAGAATATAACTTTACTTTGACGTTGACATAAAACAATAGTTTAATTTTATTTAATAATCTATCCCCTGTAACTAAGGTACACGATTGCCTGTGTCTCCTTCAGGTAATTAAAACTCATTTAAGGAGATATTTGGATAGACGTCGGGTAGCTTCCGATTCTTGGTTTTGACCAAGATCCTCAAGTATTAAACTAGTCCCTAACATATGATGGAGGCGCCGGTCTTTGTATTTTAATCGAGTCCGAGATATACTTTCTATCTTTTTTAGGTGTTCATATACGAAGTCGATTCCCCTAATGTGCACACGAATTACATTCAGATTATAATCTACCAGATTAAATAATTATTTAAGTAAAATTTTTTATTATTAATATTATAATTTTTTTTTTTTTTTAATATTAATGCTGTTTGGGCGTAATAATAATTCCTATCATTTTGGTTTTGTTTATAAGTGTATAATTTATAAAAATATGTCAAATTTGAGATGTGGAAATTGATATAGATAAATATCTTAAGTATTTTGATCGCTTAGCGAAAGCGAATGAATGGGACGATAATAAAAAACATTCTATGTTACCCTTATATTTACAGGATCATGCACATAAAATGTTTGAATTTATAGAATATCGATCGACCAATTTAACTTTGGAAAATGTTAAAATGTCATTAATTAATTTTAACTCTTACAATAATCTGAATTTAATAAGAAAAAATTTTTAGTTAGTGTAGTAGCAGAATATCGTAGGATTGAAGGTATCATGTCGGAAAAACATATCATAGAGTATTTTTTTAAGGGACCACCAGATGGAATAACTAATTAATTTATGTTATTGGATAATAGTATAGTAGATAAATTAATAGAAAATATTTTAAAAATTGAAAAAAATACAAATTTGAGAAAATACGATAGCGATTCGGAAATTTTGAAAATGGAAATAGATTCTCTTTTAAAAAAACATAATGGTAAATTTAATGGTTATGGAAATATAAGTTATGTAGGTAACCAAAGTTTAATGACATATCCAAACCATAATCATCGTAGAGTAATGAATTATAGAACTAATAAATATAGAAAGAACAAATTAAATAACAATTTTAGAAATAATGTAATATTGTGAATTAAACACTCATACCTTGTATTCGATTAAAATTAACGAGTCTCCACTAATAATGGTCACAGTAAATAAAAAAAAATTATTATTTTCGTTGTTGAGCATTATAAATAAGAATATTTTGCCCAATTATTATATTATTTATCCACTTAATAATATTACATTAACTACAGCTAACGGATCACATTTGCATGTGTTAGGTAAAAGTACTTTAGAAGTAAGGTTCTAAAGTCATATATTTTCGATTGACTTTACCATAGTCGATAACTTACCTTTAAATAGTTTATTAGGATTTGATTTTTTTTTAAAAATATAGCGCGACAATCTACAGTCGAGAGGTTAAAATTACTTTATTAAAAAACGATGATAGAGTAAATATAAATTTTGTGTACAATAACAATATCTCGAAATCCAAAAAAAATATTGATCAACCAAAAAAATTCAACAACTTAAAATCTATAAAAACTCATGACTAATCATTCAATAAATCTTGTACAGAGGGGTGTTTGTGAAATTGCTGCGAAAAGCGACATTTTAACACAAGTAGCACCGGACAGTTGGTATGGAGTTTCAACACTCGAAGCAGTCTTAAATAATAAAAGTATAGATATTAATGCTTATGAAATTAAAAAAATATTAGGCATTGATCTGTCTGATAAGTCAATTTATTTAAAAAGTGAACACTTAGCAGCCGTCACAAAACATTTAGGTTTAGGCTTAAAAATGATACCAGAAAACAATAATATTAATTCTGTATTACACTTAACAAACCCTAACAAATCGTTTGTAATGATTTTTTTTTCAAATTGCCATTGGACACCCTTAGTTTACAATCCAAATACTAAATTAGTTAGCACATTTCGTAGTATTATTCAAATTAAGGAATTTAATAATTTAGCCGTTAGAAAAAATATTTTGAAAAATAGAATATTTAAACGTGATTTTACTATCTCTCCGACTTCTGAAAGAGAAGGAAAATTTAAAACACTCAGCGATCAACAAGACGTAGTAAAAAACATTAACAACGATTCTCACACGAACACGACTCAATTCTCAGGAAACGTTAAAAGTAATATTTCTTTATCTCTTACTGTTATAACATCTGAAAACGTATTAGACTGGAACATTAATACAGCGTTACCTATTGATCAGCAAAATAAACTTAGAGGTTTATTAATGAAATATAGTACAATTTTTTCTAAACATAAATATGATTTAGGCTCGTGTAAATTTGCTCCTATAGAACTTCAGTTATCAAGTAATAAAATAATAAATTTACCCAATTTTAAGCTAAGCCGCGTTGAGCGTAATGAAATCGAAAAACAAACAGAGGAAGTTTTAAAAGCTGGCATTGTAGAGGAATCTTCATGTCCTTATTCTAATCCTGTATTTTTAATTGCTAAAAATNGTAATAAAATAATAAATTTACCTAATTTTAAGCTAAGCCGCGTTGAGCGTAATGAAATCGAAAAACAAACAGAGGAAGTTTTAAAAGCTGGCATTGTAGAGGAATCTTCATGTCCTTATTCTAATCCTGTATTTTTAATTGCTAAAAATCAAGTACAATGCAGTAAAAGTCAAGAGGAGTCAAAAGAATATAGAATGGTAATAGACTTTTGAAAAATTAATGAAATAATTTATAGCGAAAGTTTCCCTTTACCAATAATACAAAATTTATAGAATTGTTTAGCATGAAACCAATACTTTAGTTCTTTAGATGTTACTTCAGGTTTCCATCAAATAGAACTTTCTAAAAATTCTAAAGCTCTTACAGCTTATTCAACTGAAAACTATTATGTTCAGTTTACTCGTTTACCTTTGGGTTTCTTAGTAAAAAACAAAAATCGTTTTCCGACGTCTGCCCCCAAATATTGTCCCTATCTTCTTAAATGAGTTTTAATTACCTGAAGGAGAAACAGACAATCATATACCTTAGTTATTAGTGAGTGATTATATAATAAATTTATACTGTTATTTTATATCAACGGTAAAGTTATATTTTAAATATAACTGAATATAAAGAAATCGTTGATATTACTATTATACCAATTCAAAAAGATTTTTTTCCAGTTGTTAGTTTGATGTTAATAACTCCGGGCTATAGACGAGTAGAATTATCAGATCAGCATCTCCCTCTAGACTAACTAATATATTTAGTGAAAACACATTTTGTATATAACATAGTTATAAATGTTCTTTTACTTCTACAAAATTAAAAAAGAAAAACATTCTGACAATTTTTTTCTAAGAGTTATTTGACTTTAAAGTTCACTAAATCATCAAAAATTTAATAGATTAGTATAGAAACGTTAAAAATATGATAGTGATGTTAATAATTGCTATAGTCTGTCAAGATATATTTGTTTAGTATAATCAACATGTTATTGTTTTTGCTCAACTTTAAAATAGGTCGAATAATAAGATTATAATAATAATAAGAAACCCAACCTAAAAAATAAATTTTAGCAGTTCTTTGGTACTTAAATTTTGTAGTAATACAAAGTTTCTTTTAATATTTATTTTAATTTAACTTACGAGACAAGGCTTTACTCATTGACATGTAATGATCTAGCAAAATATGTATATACATGTAATCACAATAATTAACTTATATTCAGGGAATATCAATAAACACTTTTATAATTTTTTTAAAACATTATATTCTTAAAAAAAAATGTTTTATGTACTTGGTCTATCTATAATAGTATACAACTAGACACTATAATTGCTTATAAAAAAACAACACTATATTGCCAATTTTAATATTATACAGAATGGTTCACGATATTTCGACAAATCTAATAACTATTGATCTACTTAATCTTTTGCATTTTTTTTTTTTTTAATAATATATGCATTCCTAGACTATGTTAAGAAAATATTATTCATATAAAAACATTTTTTGCGGCGACTAGACATTTCCCCTTGACGAGTAAAAATATACCCTTTGTGTATGCCAATAGNCTCCCCTTGACGTGTAAAAATATACCCTTTGTGTATGCCAATAGTTTATTTATATTAATTTATACTAATTCTTTAGCTTTATGAATTAATTAGTATTTATTAAATATAAGCCTTAAAAAATTTATAAGCACAAGTTTTAATTAAGAATATTTGATACTAAACTGATTATCGAAATACTGGCCCAATAGATGTTATCAACGTGTCATTTCTATTTTATAAGCTAGTTAAATAGTTATGTTACTATATGAAACAAGAAAGTTTACAGCAATATAATGTACAAGGGATGAACATTAAAAATACTGCATAATGAGTAGATATAGAAAAACATGTAAGTAAAGAAACCAAAAGTAAAATTCTCAACATTCTAACTATTTTACGATTAAAATTATTATTAATAAAAAATTATTAATTTATTACCATTATGGATAACCATAAATAAGATAGTTGTAGAGAAAACTAAAAAAAATAGTTTCTGAAAAATAAAAAATTTAAATAAAATAAAAATTCAAAATACCAAATTTTATTATTATTATTTTACTTGCCATTACGATTTTTTGAAGAACGATAGTTTAGTGTAAAATGTTACAAATAACTTGTTGAAAAAAATGTAGTGTATTAAGTTTTATCAAAAATTTTTTGTTGTTATTTTATATTGACTGAAATCACAAGTTTATTCAGTTGTAATAAATCGATACTACAACTATTTGGCAAAAAATAATTCAATAATACTTACAATAATTATAAATCAAATTATACTCATAATTTATATAAAATTTAGTGACAACGTGAATTTTTAAATTTATTTTCAAATTTTCCTATAATTTATAAAAATGTTTTTGCTACATAATTTTAAACTTGTATATAATTTTATTTTTTTTAATTTAATATATATTTAAAAATCTGTGAACATGAAAACTCAATATTTGAATGTTTACGTTTATCATTAATTTTAATTTTACGATTTATAAATCCTCATTAAGGACTGTATCCATTTGATTTGTTTATAGTTTAAGTTTTGATTTTGACTAGCTATTATGAATAAGGACCGGATCCGCTTACGGATTTTTTCCATTTACGGGGAATAAGACAATTTTTGTCAATTTTTGATGGTAATGTACTGTATAGTTGAAAAAAATTTGTATAGTGAAACCTGAAATAATGACGACAGACACACAAAAAAAAAATAACCAAATTAATACTTTCTCAAATAGGGAGGCCATAGTGATGGGTGCACTGATTTTAATTAATTTTTTATGAATTCAATCTACATGAGATACAAATCATATAATTTTTAAATATTTTGGCAATACTTAAAGAAAGTTAAGAAGAAAAAAGGACTTATGCTCGACAGGATATAAACTCCGTACCTAATGTACTTAGATACTCGTATTGCCAACCCGGCAATTGTACATTGCATTTATAAGATGATAAAAAGATCAATTTAAGCTAATTCAAAGTCCATTTTTTCGACTAGAGAGCATATACAAAAATTAAAAATAAGTTTAATTCAATGTTGATTAGATTTACAAAACTCTTATGAAAATTGGTGATCCGTCACCGTGGTTTCCTTTTGTACGATAAAAAAAAATTTACTAATTATTCATTTTTTGAAAAGTAATATAGACATTAATTTGAAATTGAAAAAAATGTGAACAAGGATATTTTTAATTAAAATTTTATTTTAGAGGATTGTGAAACTCCAATAAACCTTTTTTCATGATATTGGAAAACAAACATAATTCCAAAAAAAAAATCCTCTAAAAATATTTTTTAAAAGTTTCTAGAGGTATAAAGTCAAAATATTTAAAAAAAAATTTAGTTGAATTGGTCTCCTAACCCATCTTTATAATACACCAATACAGTTTTCACTCATTTATAAAAAATACTTTTAAATAAGATTTTGTACAATAATTTATTTTAAGCTCTGAATTTTATGATTTTTAGATAAAATTCGTACTTTGTTCTAAAATTTTGAGATCCGTTTTCACAAAAATACAAGTCCTAATGACAAATTTTTTTTCGAAATGATGTATATCACATAAGTTTAAATTACAGAATAAAAATAATTGACAGACGCAAAAAACAATAATATAGTAAAATTTGAAAATATTTACAAGTAAAAATCGACCCTTTAATGTATACTAGACAATTATTACGTTTATTATAACTAATCCAGTTCAACTAATTATAAGTAAATTATTTTACATATAATAATTTCATATAAAATAATAAAAAAAAACAATATTTTCCTGAATTCCCAATATTTACAATAGTCCTTGTGTTATTAAACTATTTCAAGTGTAAATCTCATGATAAAATACTAAAGTTGTCATTACATATGTTATTTTACAATGAGATATAAATATATACATATAACTATGCTTGAATAAAATAAATTTAATTAGTTGTTAATCTTTTAAATTTTTATTTTACGATAAATGTCAAAACTATTAATATATATATTGTCGTGGTAGCGGTTACGACAGCGATTAGAAATAAATTAAAATTAATATCAATGTTATTTAATATTAATAATGAAAAACTGCAATTCGTTTTGCAAATAAGATGTGTGTGTATTACGCACTAAGTAACACAAGTGTAAATATACAATAATATTACTCATCACAGACTGATGGCAGTCGCCGGACTTGATTCTTATTTATGTGACGCTGACGGTCGCCGATAATCGTTTNATTACGCACTAAGTAACACAAGTGTAAATATATCATAATATTACTCATCACAGACTGATGGCAGTCGCCGGACTTGATTCTTATTTATGTGACGCTGACGGTCGCCGATAATCGTTTGTTAATGTGCAATTTAGGGAAGTGCAGCACGGCCGGTGTATTACCATGTTGATCTGGGTGTCATCCAAATCAGTCCGATGGTAATAATACCCCGACCTCGTTAATATTATGGTGGATCAAAAAAATTCCATCTTCGAAATTTTAATGAGAACCATTTTAACTTTATTATATACATTAAAATTGGCATTTTGTGAAAATTTGAGATTTTTTTAAAATTTTTACTGGTGACTCAACGTGATTTTAGCATTTTGACCAAAAATACCCCAAAAACGGCCTCTGTTATTCAATTTTTAGTCAAATATTATGATTAGTATATCAGAATAGTTTGTTTTTTACTTTAGAATACAAATTTTTTTGTTTAAAAATTTAAAGTCGAATTGATAGCAGTTCGGCTGATATTTATGTATATTATGAATGGAAAAACAATTCTCCACTAATCTTAAAAACTTATACCTTTTTTTATTATTAATCGATGGAGCTTGAAAATATGAATAAATGAAGATTGTCTCTACATACTTTTCAAATATATTTTTTTTATAAAACAATTAATTTTTTATTAAATATAATACAATAAAAAAGGAAGTTTCATTTTTTTGATAACATTAAAACTGACTTTTCGGGATAATTATAAAGAGTTATTAAAACTCCGTTTGTTATTCATTAGAAAACCGACAAGTGATAAAATTGATTGACCGTCGCATCATTCATTTGTTAGTTAATATTAATAGCTGAATATATTAGTTAATGATGAATTACAGATTAATTAAAAAACCAATTCGTGGTTTGTCAGATAAATCTGTGTTTGGTCTATTCAAAATATTTGTGATTATGGGTCTTAGTGGGATTGTGTGAATGTAACTAGTAATTGTGTTAAACGACATTGAGTGACTAAAAAATTATAGTAAAAAAATCATCGGATTAATTAAAACACCAAATCATGTTTTAGTTTCCTAAAAGTATAGACATTTTTTCTCGACTGTTTGTTGTTATACTTAGGAGAAAAATGCATAATTACTTTGAATTTTTTTGTTCATAATTGTCCAATTGTCATTGTTTTTTTTTCGTATTCGTTATATTATTGTTAGTTTTTGATTTTTGTCACTTAGTCATATTGTTGGACCTAAATTTGGTTATTTGTTGTGGTTTTTGGTAATCTTATAAATTCATAATATGTGACATACATGTACAAAAAATAACGTGCTAATATGATAACTGATAACATAGTATATCTTTGAGATAAACCTGTTTGGTCTATTGTTAAAACATTTGTTATTATGCGTCTCAGGCTGATTGCGTAAGTGGACCTAGTCTATTATTTTGGAGAACCTTTAGGTAATATATGTGTGTTTATTATTAAGTAAATATATTAAGTTAGCTCATAAGTAAAGTATAAGTAATAATGTTACCAAAAAAGTAAGTAAAGTTAAGTATCAAAAATATTATAGCACAAAAATCAATTTATTATTATATCATTAATATTTCAATATTGATATGTTAAAAAATGTTTAAAACTATTTCTCTAAATTTATTACAATATTTTTTTTTTGCATCAGCACATTTTTNGTTTAAAACTATTTCTCTAAATTTATTACAATATTTTTTTTTTGCATCAGCACATTTTTTACAATAGTCAAATTGGGGAGATACATGAAACCAGGTTACATTGAATAATTTAATTTTACATGATATGCATTCATCTGCAAATAAAATATAATAATGTATTATAATTTGAAAGTATTAATTCTTCATATGTATTTTTTGTGTCTATCACTGAAAATTATTCAGTACTTAGTTCCAACCCAACCGATTTTCCTAACCGATAATCAAAAGAGCTCAAATTTTATTTAGTTATATAACTCTCAAAATTTCAAAAAAATTTCTATAACTCGGTCAAAAATTAACGGATTTCAACTAAATTTTTAGGGTACCTCTCAAAAATGTATGGGTAATCCATTGAATTTAAATATCGAACTTCAAATATAAAAGAATATATAACTCAAAATGGTACAAAAATTATAACACGTTATCAACGTTAAAGATATAATTTTATCATTATTATTGACAATGTATTTAACATTTATACTTATTTTAGGAAGGATTATAACATGCGTATATAAAGAATTATTTTTATTTATAGTAAAAAAAATATTTAACTCAAATAGCTATAAAAATCACAAAAAAATTGCGGACACATATTTCACGAACAATATTATCAATGTTAAACACATACTTTTATTATGTTATTATGTATAATTATTGACTATATATTTAACATTCATACTTACGTAATTTCATTCCTATAATGAAATGAAAACATATTTTGATAATTACTTTTAAATAATTAATTCATGGTTGTATTAAGTGATTAAAATTTTACATTGTATTAAAGTATTCACTAAAATAATATTAAGAATATATATATTTTTTTAATCTATATAAGGAGAACCTAAATATATTAATTTTGTCAATATTTTAAATTCATTATATGAAATAATTGTGTCGAGCTGTATTAGAGAAAATAAGCTAAAAGACATCTACAGTAAACATAGAATACATTTGAATAAAAACTCATCTAATTAAGTTAAATAAATTAAAAAATATATATTCTAAAGTATTCACCAAAATAATATTAACAATATATTTTTTTTAAAAACCTTGCAAGGGGGCTTTTTAATTCGGCCTGTAACAACAACATGGTTTGCCACTTGCATAACGACTAGCTATAGTAGCAAGGGTCGCCTCCTAATCGAGGTGTCGCACATATCAGATATGATTACCGGACCATAGGTGGAATTTAATTTTAAGCTAATTAAAAGTATAATCTAAGTTAATATGTCGTTATCTGTATAAATTACTATA